TTTTTAGAATTAATTTATATAAAAATATAAATATTAACTTTAATTTAATTTAATTAATTAAAATTATCTACATAGTAATTACATTGAAATAAATATCAATTTTTATAATTTTTATAAAAATTAATTATAAAATAATATTTTTATTGTACTTTTAACTTATACTTTAAAAATATAAATTAAATAAACATATTTATAAATATAATAAAATGGTCATTTATCTTTCGAAGGTGCATGTTCATTAGCAACTTGCTGGTTAGAATAACATTAACATAGACATACCTAAAATTTAGGTGACTAACTTTTATGTGTAAAATTCACCAAGAAATTGGTGTACAAAAACTATTTTTATTACTAATTGATGAACTTTATGGTAGAAAAATGTTGTCGATGACTCTTCTCGTCATCTAATGACAATAATTACATTAGAGGCAATGAATTCTTAAAGAAGCCTTAACCAATAGGAAAGTGGTTGTGATTTTAAACTAAATTTAGAGTTTCAATTCTTTCACCACAGGACCTAGTCATTTATTACCTCTGTTACACTATATTAATCATTTTAAGTTTATGTATAAGAATTAAGAAAATAGTTACTTATTTTTAATTTTAGTGTTAAATAAAATAAAAGCGCCATCTTACCATTTTCTTCGCCCACAATCTTCTATTTGATATAAAACTCCATCTATCGTTATACTTTCTCTTGTCTTTTTTTTTTCATTATTAAATAAAAAATTTTTAAGTCATGAATAGTAAATTTGATGTATTTTGTGAATATAAGGAAAACTAAATAGCTATTTTGAAGAGTTTTAGATATTCATAAGCTAAAAAAGAGTGCTATATATGAAACAGAGGAAAGTGGAGATCTTTGTTTTTTTAAAATAACAAAGATTAGAGTCATTAAGCTTTTATTGTAAGCTAAAGTTAAAAGAAGCAAAATTAAAGAGATCTTGGTTTAGCCAAAATGACAAATAAATAGGAACAAAAATTTGTACTTAAAATGACTAATATAGTGGAATAGGGGGAGTATATTTTTAAGATGTGTTTGATATTTCTGTTAATCTAAACAACTGAAGAGTAATGAATGAGCAACTTAAAAAGTTAGGTGACCATTATGTTAGGGCTACCATTTAAGTAATAAAAATGTTGATTTTAGCAATTTTTGTTAATAATTTTGTTAGAATTGTCAATTGGGTGCCTAAAATGTTGATTTTGCCAAAACCATCCATGAGATTACCCGATTTATGCAAGATTGTGTAAGATTTTGATATAAATTAATTACTTTAACTAGGAATTCAAGTTTTCCAAGTGAATTGTACATTTAAAATACAATTTGTTTTATAAATTTATTTAAATATTTTTAATGAAATAGTATAAAAAATAATTTTATTAAATATATTTTAATAAATTTATAAGA